GGTAGAAAACTGTCCGTAATACAGAGGCCTTCTTAAGGAAAGATTCACTTGTAATTAGTATGTACCAAGGCTTTATTGGTTGACGGTGGTTTCAAAACCGTGGATTTTTGATCCTACTATGTGAGCCCAAAAATCGTGAACGCTTTGGTCTTGGTTATTCACCAATCAGACATCACTTGTTACACAGTCGCGTTAGCTGTCTCTAGGCCGTAACAGTGACAACACTTGTAGTTTTTTCTTTCTTTTCTTTTCGTTTTTTTCAGTATTGATCATACTTACAAAGTTTACATTGGAGGAGCTCAGAAGCGACCGGACGGAAACTACTCTCGACCCGTACAAAACCCCTCAGGGGAAGTTATAGGACAAGTGGCTGACGGAAACAGAAAGGACATCAGAGATGCTGTGGAGGCCGCACATAAAGCAGCACCAGGGTGCGTGTATTGTTAGGGAGTAGGGTGTTAAAGGCTATGGTCACACTATACCCACAGATAGCTTTTCGTGCCGTCCCAAAAAGCTATAGGTAACTGGCAAAGATATACTGTTTGGTATTATTGAATGTGAGGACGAGATATTTGGGAATCATATTTTACTACTGGAATAACAATACCCATACTGTTGTAGACAGAACAAACATTCTCCCTCCATTAGAGTTCTTACTTCTAAAATTAAACACTGTTTTGTAATCGAGACAATGATCGCTAAGTCAGACGATAAGTTAGAGACCCACGATATGAAATGCAGCAAATATAAAGTTGAGTCGCATACGACCATTTCGCCGCTTTCTTCATTTATTAATTTTTCATGTAAATAGAGAAGAATTTACTGGGGTGTGTTTTTATCAGTATGTAATTGTGTGTGTGCGATGTGTATATGGTTAGTTTTCTTTTCCTTCTTTTTTGTTTTTGTATTTTTCTTTCGTCTTCATACAAATGTAAGGGTCACTGTGTAAAACATTGTAATACATAAATTTATTGTAAGACGAAATAACAATTTATAAAAAAATATAGGTAACTGGCCAGACCTTCTGGAGTTTAAGATGATTTTTTTATTACCTTTTCCCTTAGTTGGGGCAAGAGAGCCGCCCACTACAGAGCTCAAATTGTTTACTACATGGCGGAAAATTTAGAGCTGCGACGCAGTGAGTTTAGTCAGGGACTGTGCGATATGACAGGCTGCTCGCAGGAGGAGGCCAGCAAGGAAGTCGATATCGCAATACAGCGGCTGTTTTACTTGGGTGCTTATGCAGATAAATATGGAGGTACTGTACAGGTAGGTGTGAGAATAAACCAACTAATGTTAACAAGAATACCGTGCTGCACGAAATTTTTGGGGAGTTTATTTTTGCGAATTGGCGATTTGTTGTGTCTTGCGGGAACCAATTTTTGCGATTAGGACAGATTGGTTTTTCTTGCTGGGAATTAATTTTTGCGGTTTTCAGAAATTACCCAGTATCCAGCATTGATAATATTTTCGTTTTCGTTAAGTACGTGCAATAGAATACATACTCTCAAACAATACTATGGTATGCCTACCCTATGTAAAACCAGTAATTCATTGTATACCGTTTTGTTTCTAAATGAAAGAGGCACGATTTCAGACAGACACGATTTCTTCGTAATGTCTTGTGTAGCGAATTTAAGGTAGAGAATACTAACTCTGGAGTAAATTTTTGCGGGAAAAATGTTTGCGATAATTTTTATGTGCCTTTTTGTTAAGTACGTGCAACAGAATATATACTCTCAAACAACACCATGGTATGCGTACCCTATGTAAAACTAGTAATTCATTGTATACCGTTTTGTTTCTGAATGCAAGAGGCACGATTTCAGACAGACACGATTTCTTCTTAATGTCTTGTGTAGCGAATTTAAGGTAGAGAATACTAACTCTGGAGTAAAGTTTTGGGGGTAAATGTTTGTGGTAATTTTTATGTGCGGGAACTTATTTTTGCGGATCGCTTGAAAATCGCAAAAATCGCAAAACTTTCGTGCCACACGGTAGGCACAAAATGTAGGCATTAATACCGTAGATGGAAAATGATAGTCAGGTTGTTTGTAGTCTTGAATAGGACTTACGGACAGTGACTGATGACAAACTGTTCGATGGTCATCTTCCGAGTTAAATGTGCGTGAATATAACTACCGCACGGGTTGTCATTGGTCACTCTCCACTAGTCCTATTCAGGACTACGCCCACCCGGACAATCATATCCCACCGACATTTATCATGACATCCTGGGTTCAAACCACTCACTAAAACAATGTATACAGTTAATTTGCATTTGTATTAACTTACTCAGTCGTTCAAATTGCCGACTTCCTTGATTAACTGGCTAACATCTTTTCCCTGGGGGTTTTGGTAGGGGACACTTCCTTTCCGAAGTAGTTCAGGCAGTTGGTATCATTTATCAGTGTGCGTGCTGTAGTGGATAGTCGGAATTAGGGCTGGAAAGCCCCCTCCACCCAAATTCCTCAAGAATCCCTGTACTGTCGCAATTTGTAATAATCATCGCACTTTGTAATACCTGTCGCAATTTGTAATAAATCCATCGCACTTTGTAATACCTGTCGCAATTTGTAATAAACCGTGTCGCACTTTGTAATAAAAAAGCTGACGCAATTTGTAAAAACTGTCCATCGCACTTTGTAATAAAGTAAGCTGTCGCAATTTGCAATAATTTCATCGCACTTTGTAATACCTTTTTGAGAGTAATCAAACTTACTTCGTCAACAATAATATAATGCCAAAATATGCATGGTACTTTATAAACAAAGATGATGACGTCAGCTAGCACGTAACATCTCCGCTCATTCAAACATTTAACTTTATTCACCGTCCTAAACATTTTTTTTAGATTAATGTTGATTAGTTATCTGACTTACGAAATGCTGTATTCTTAAACCTTGCTATTGTACTAGGTGGTTTTCATTCAATGGTTACCCGGCGGGTGTACTTCCTTATATGGCCAATACGGGGATGTGCCTCTGGACAGAGCGTTGTCAGAGTACAGAATCTAGACACACTAGACACAAACGAGCCATTATTAAAAAGCATTTAATTTCCGCAAATCGTAACATCCATCCTACTTCATTCGAATAAAGACACCAGGAGATTTCAAGCTTTCCTTGTCAGATCTTACAACAAGTCGACACAACACGTGGTGCACCGTCCTTGTCTAACGTGCAATCTTAAAGAAGTAATGGTGGCTTCCATATTTTGGCCAAATTAATCAAACGAGGCCTGGAAAGATTCAAAATGTTTACTCCAAATAATTAAAAAAACGTCAACAGTGGCAAACCGTCGAACCACAACAGAAACCTAAACACAAAATCCAATTAGTTGCTGGCCAATACCTCACTTGGGGTCTTACACTGAGCCGGCTGGGCATTTGGCCCATTATTCTCACTTGATTTGGTCCCATATAGGAACAAAAGGAGTACTCATTCCATCTTAAAACAATTGTTTTCTATAAGGAGTCCTCTAAAGCAAATACCATGGGGATAGTAAAAAATTATCCTTCCCTAGGTATATACAACTCGTAAGACCTTGCAATTCTTCCGAGCGTGTTCTGGATTACTGTTTTTCCACAAAATGGAAAGGATGGAATAAACCATTCATTACTACATCCTTACTACTAAGGATCAAACCAAAGACACAAGGCCAACAACGTAAAAAATGATACCCTATTAAAGGCTCGAGATCCCCAAAAACCATACCCTATCAAGCGGTACTTACCTATCTAGCCCATCCATATATGGGATTATATTGCCCCCCCCCGAAGACTTCACGTGTCACTTGTCAAGCAAACATGGATTTGGACTACGAATGCCAGGTTATTGATGAATTTTCTGTTGTTAAATGTTGCTTTAGTTATTTAAATATTTTTGAATTTTAACATGATTCATCTCTTTTTGGTGATATGTCACAGGAAGTTTCATGTCTTTCATAAAAGCGTTTCTAGTTGGTCACGTGATTAATCAAGGCAGAAAAATTTATAGCGTAAGACATGCATGTTTGACCAAAGTAAATGTTACGGAGATTTTACGTGGTAGCAGACGTCATCATCTTTGTTTATGAAGTACCATGCATATTTTGGCATTATGTTAATGTTGACGAAGTAAGTTGAATCACTCTCAAAAAATTATTACAAAGTGCGATGGAATTATTACAAATTGCGACAGCTTAGTTTATTACAAAGTGCGATGGACTGTTATTACAAATTGCGACAGCTTTTTTATTACAAAGTGCAACACAGTTTATTACAAATTGCGACAGGTATTACAAAGTGCGATGGATTTATTACAAATTGCGACAGGTATTACGAAGTGCGATGATTATTACAAATTGCGACAGTACAATCCCCCTTGGGCGTCTTTGATTCTTTTTTTGTACTTGGGGGTACGCTGAAAGTACAACTCACTAAAATACTTCAACCTTTTGCGAAGACATTCTCAACGGAACTTTCCATAATGTTAACTAGAGAATAGAAGGGCGAGTTTACCAAAGTGGTAGGCGAATTGGTACGTTGCAAAAACAAGTTGATCATGGTCACGTGTTTGTGGCAGGAAACTGTCTACTTGCCATTTGGTCTTGTATGTTCTCCAAGCAACTTTCCAGGAGCCACTTTAAGGCCATGTCTTACGTATTCTGCAGTTAACACTCTCTAAAACGGACACCTTTGGGACTGGTTCTCAAAGCTGTTGCGCCTTGTTTAACTTTCACATGCAACGATTCGTTTCCAACCTTGGCAGGATTAGCTCAGTCGGTAGAGCGCTTGACTACAGAGCGGGAGTTCCCGGGTTCGATTCCCGGGAGCGGACCAACACTCAGGGTCTTAAAATAACTGAGGAAAATGAAGGTACCCTCGCGTGGCTCTGATGACCACGTAAAATGGCGGTCCCGTCTCCAGTAGGAGACGAAAACAATAGTGTCCGCAATTAATACTTTCGTGCTAAATACATTGAGACGCAAATAAAGCGCTTTTTTGAACTTGCTGTAATATGTTTTGTTGGCTAACCGTGTACCTTTTCTTTTCTTTCTTAATCTCTCCCCTCCCTAAGGAAACGCCATTCTATGGTGCTACAGTTAAGATCCATGAGTCTGTAGGGGTGATAGGCATTGCTTGTCCTGACACGTGTCCCTTACTGGCCTTTGTGTCCCTACTGGCGCCTGCAGTCATTCGAGGTAACACTGTTGTTATCGTACCAAGTCAGAAACATCCCATGATTGCTGTGGATATGTACCAGGTACCAATCACGTCCATTTTATTTTCTGAGTTATTCTGTGCGTTAGTACTGTTTTTAGATCGTGGACCACTTAGTTCTAAATTTTTTCTGTGCTTTCAGGTGATCATAATCGTTTTCCTCTTTAATTATGAGACCATAAAATAATATGTTTATTCGACAACAAGAAATTTATTTTTTCCCGCGATTATTGATTGAACATTTTCTATAATCGATTATCGATTATTACAAATTTTTCGGAACACCATTGCTGTGTATGAATACTCGAATAAGCGCCCATCCTATGGCCTAAAGTTTGAAACACGCCTCTTCTTACTCGACCTCTTTTCTTTTGATAACCTAAGGCGGAGTACTATGTTTTAAAATCATGTTTAATCTTAAGCAGAGCATTTTTTACGACCATGTGGCTTTCTCGTTCACTGCATCATTGGGGAGCTTAAGCAACAACGACGACAGTAAAAACATCATTGAAAAATGAATTTGCGTCCTTTCAAACTTTATCGCGTCTATTTGGAACCGCTCAATTTGTCAAATGTAGGTGACTTTTCCTAGAGTTGAATTCTTAAGGACTTTATCCATGTTGAAATATAAAACGTCGCCTTGGGAGGTTTCACGTCGTAGTCGTGCAGTGGACGTCAAAGAAATGTACTAAGAAGCGTCATACACGTGCAGAGCTGTTGTTTTGCTCATAAAACCAATTGTTTTTTGACGCTGTCGTCGTTGTCGTCGTCGTCGTCGTCGTAGTTGCTTAAGCTCCCTATTACAGTACAAGTAACGCTAACACGCGGTGAAAAGAAAAAGTATTTTTCTAAAATAATTAGCATGGTCTAGCTCATTCTGAAGCATCCTGTGGATGGTCCAACTCCAACACTGAAAACATGACCCGGCAGATATTCAAAATCTGATCCTCAAAATTTAACAAAGAATGTTTGCCGTGGATTTATTAAATTGGCTGGCAGTTTCAATTGTTAGTGCTAATCCCGAGGATAAGTTGCCGAAAAGGAGGGCCGGAATTTAACACGTCTTCCAATTTTTCAACTCAAATTTGAACGCCTGAAATATTACGCTATGCCTTATAGGTGATGTTACACGACGATGATTTTTAGCGCAACACAGCGTTGCAATGTTAGAGCAATGTTGTAACCATTCGAAACAATGTCGCAGCAATGTTGCCACGCTGCGTTGCGCTTAAAATCGTCGTTGCGAATCGTCAAGTGTAACATCACCTTATGTCGAACCACGTTCAAACGACGGTGTTAGCGGTCCATTTTGCCGCGCGTTTTGCGATAATTGCGAAATTTTAGGTTACAGTTTGTGTTAAAAAATTCTTACAGTGTCTCCGGCAAGGTTCGTTCGTTCGTTCCATGCGGAACATTGCATATTTTTTCTCGCTTCCTTTCTGTAGATTTTTGACACGTCGGACTTGCCCGGTGCGGTGTTGTAAACATCGTCACAGGGGACCGCGATCACCTCACTAAATACCTGTCCGAACATCAGGACGTTCAAGCCATGTGGTACTTTGGCTCAGCGGAGGGAAGCAAATTTGTGGAGTGGTCATCAGCGGTCAACGTGAAACGTACCTTTGTAAACTACGGTCAGACCCGAGACTGGCTTGACAACTCTCAGGGGCAGGGCGAGGAGTTTTTGTTCCACTCTACCGAATGCAAGAACGTATGGCTTCCGATGGGGGACATCTTTGCCAATTAGTCGGCTTGTAAGGTGACTGCCCACTTGGATACGCATGTCAGCTCATTGCTGTAGTTACAACTGATTGAATAAGGGTGTGATTGAAAACTGCTGATGATACGTACGATAACTCGCCCAAGGCTTTTCTCGAACAAAAAGAAATGAGCAAGGGCTGGGGAGAGGGGCAAAGTGGAAGTTTGAAGAGGGAAGACGACATAAGTAACTTTCGGGAATAGGCCACTTCCGAGCTCCAAAAACCCTCACTTTCAAAATGAGGCTAAGTGCACAACCTTTCTTGTGAAAATGAGTTTTATTTGCGTTAGAATGAAAATGATTTCCATATTAAAGGCCGAGCACTTAACCTCGTTTTGATACAGAGGCCCGGGGGAACTCGGAAATGACATATTGCTGGTTTGCACGTGACGTCACGGCAGCCATGTTGATGATCAAGAACCAAAGCATCTCTCTCCTTTCACTAAGCTCCCTTTTCATGCAAATTCTTCAGGAAATAATTCTGTCGTATTGACCACCAACATGGCCGCCTTGTCACGTGGTTGCAAACCAAGAATATCTTTTCCTAATTCTGGACGGCTTATGATTCGATCATGATATTTACAACTTCGAACTGAGTTATTTTAAAACACGAGACGGGTTTCAGTTAAAATAAAAAATGGGCAAAGTATCTGATACTGGGGGAAGATTTACAAGAAAAGCGCATTCCAAAAATTGCATTGTGCACGATTTTTTTGCCCTTGCTTCTTTGCATGAGAAATTTCATTCGTTCGCAGCGCTAAGTCGTCAATGTTTTTCTTTCGTTTTTTATGGTCTTTACATTAATAATTTATAAAATGACGTATTGCAAGTTGATATACTCAGGGGAATAGAAAAACGTTACAGTGAAGTATCGATTATGAACTTCCCTGCAGCATGTATCTTTATTTCCTAATTGTTATGTTGGTGTGTATGAAAACTGTTGGTCACTAAACTTTCACTCGTTGGGTAAACACTCAGGTTACGACAACATACTAATCACTTTTTTTTTCATTTGCTACTCACTGTAAAACTCAAAGCATACAACCAAGGGGATGTACTTTTTGTTGTAAAGTGGTACCTTTTTTAATAATGTGTTATAATTTCTGCAACTGTACAAATTTTAAAAGATGGTACTGTAGGGTAGTGATTAACATAAATACTAAATAAATTGACTAGTTGTAGTAAATTAACTGGTGTTCACAAGAAAAACGAAGGGATATTTCTCTACAGTCTTAATCTTTGTAGTTAAGCCTGAATGTTTATGATTAAAGTTATTGATACAGCGGAAACGACTGAAATAAATTGACTGAAAAAAACAACAACATAGAATCTACTTTGAGTAAATAAGACAATTAATAGCCAAACCATAAAGTAATAAATTATGATACATCCACATTTATAAACTTCTACTCCGCCTGGGCGGAAAGTGGGCGAGTGTGCGAAACACCGAAAAGACTGAGCACGCTATTGGGAAGAGAAACTGACCTTATATAAGAAACCCACAATGCGTAGACACGTGTAGGGTAGCCACGGGCTTTTGTTACGTAATAGAATTAAAGGCTATTTCATTGTGGAATCCCTAGAAAGAATTACTTTTTCTGTTACATGTTGGCATCAGTGAACGGTGTGTGGTTTGTTAATGCGTAGATAAGTTGAGCTATTACCGCATCGTGTTTTTAGACAACTCAGTACTATTTTAAAAAAGTTATTGAGTGACATTATAATGCGAAGAGTCAATGTGAAATCCAAGTTACCCACAAAATCATAACGGAGCAACACCCTGCCTTCCTTCGCACAAAGTTGGGAACGCTTACTTTAAAACGTCATTCGTAGTGCCGGGAGTGGCCGAGGGCCTGCACTATCGACCTTCGAGTGTTATTGGGGCTAAGAGCTGTTGTTGTTCCTGTAAGTGCTATGAAAGAAAGGAATAGTGCAATATGACTCTCTTATTTTTGATTTATTTTTGTCCCTGACAGAATAATTCAGTGTAGGCATTTTGCAGCTGATCATTCACCTGGTACAAAACCATCACGCCAGAACGTAAGGGACTACCCTGGTCCCAGAGGTTTTTCTTGATTTTTCTTCGCGAAAGAGATCAAGAGCAAGCCGTGAAGCGGCGACAACGAGTCGCGAAAGCGACGAGCAGAGAGAGAAAAACCTCTGGTTACCTTGGCCTCAAATCTCACTTTCATGCAGACGACAGCTGTCAGACGCGTCAAATTGCTAATAAAAAGAGTGACCAATGGCAATTTAACAAACACGTGCTTATCAGCCGCTATTTTTTTTAACCGGGGGTAGACCTGGGGAAATTATGTTATGAACAAACCATCTGCACTTGGGTTGAAGAGTGATTTGTTAATCGGGGTCAAGCGAGTCCAAGAGACTTGAGAGGACAGACAACCAAAATTATTGCATGGCGAGGTTATGAGTATCCTCTTAAGGAAAGGTACTTGCAAACAGCAGGTAACAACTGAAATATTATACACTTTCCATATCCGGTCCGGTTGATAAAATGGTGGACACATCCTTTGGACTCAAGGCGGCGAACAAAGCTTTCTTTTGTTGCTCAGTGAGACTCAGGAAAGCGCTCATCAAGTACCGAGGTCAAAATTTCTTCGAATATTCTTTCAGGAACAACATCCATGTCAAAATCTCGAAACATGGCGTGCCTTTACGTGCCTTGGTCCCGTGCAAATGTTATTGCGAGTGCAGTATACAAACAATTTCCTTCCCTGGTAGAGAGAGGCAAAATTTACCTTCAGAAATGAGGTGTGAAAATCCTCAGCGTCCCCTCGGTAGTTACAATTAAACAAGCCAATCAAATTGGTTTGCGTGTTTGAAAAAATATCAACCAATCAACGCCCGAGGGTCAGATCCTGACCCTGTCGTCTGCATGAAAGTGAGATTCGAGGCCAAGGTAACCAGAGGTTTTTCTCTCTCTCCTCGTCGCTTTCGCGACTCGTTGTCGCCGCTTCACGGCTTGCTCTTGATCTCTTCCGCGAAGAAAAATCAAGAAAAACCTCTGGGACCAGGGTAGTAAGGGACTCACTGGAACAAGAAAAACAATAGGCGTACATCAATTAAAATGCTAATTTCCATTGTTTGTCTTGTCTCAGTGTGACCCTTGCTCTCTAGCGTGGGCGGTTTTGTACCATGTGAATAGGGAGCTTAAGCAACAACGACGGCTTAAAAAGTGAAGTCGCGCTGCTTCAAACTCTATCGCGCTTATTCTCTCTCATTCGTCAAAACTTGGCAATTTTTTCTGAGTTGAATTCTAAAAGACTGTATCGAAGTTCAGAAAAAGAAGAAGAAAGTTCGTTGCGTTGCCGGTTCACGTCCTCCACAAAACGTGAAATAAGGCATTTTCAAGTTATAGTCGTGCAGTGACGGGGGAATGTACAAAAAAGCGTGATGTACGCGCAGAGTTTTTGTTTTTTCAATCTAAACTTATTGCTTTTTTGCCGTTCTCGTTGACGTCACAGAGTCGTTGCTTAAGCTCCTTTATGACAAGCTGAGAAGACCCCATTGCAGTTTTAGTTTCCTTTTACATTATATTGTTTCTTCCATCGAAGTTGCCGAGTTTTGTTTACTTATGGCTTCGATCATCAATGAAGTCAGCTTGTCAACTAAGGGATCCTCTTGCAAACAAGACCAAGCCAGAGGCACGGATAGGCGGATAGGCAGGTAGGGTGATTCCGGCCCAGTCCAATTGGACTGCATGGTTACTGCGCTTTTCCGATCGATTCTTTGGGAGCCTAGTACTTTGAAGCCGTTGTCTGTACGTAACCATCGAGAATCCGGCACCAGTTCAAAAACCTCGATTTTATTTTTAATTTAAATTGTTAAGTTGGTAATTATTACATTTGTGATCAAATGTTATTACACTTGTGACCTTTATTACATTTGTGACCAGTTATTACATTTGTGCCTTCAACAACCTCTTGTAAACTTTTTTCAAAAACAATATTCTAAAGTTCCAGCGAAGCTCCGTGATTGGGAAAAGTAGGAAAGTTTAAAATCGGCCTAAACATGGCCGAAGGCCCGATGGAAATTGTACAGATTAGGAAATATTCAAAACGCTCGTAGGAACAAACGAAAGCTAGTCTATACTTCATCTTTACAAGGCTTGTTACACATTTCTCAAAGTTGCTTTCTTCAATCTATGATAATACTTCATCTTGATCTGGGCTTTCTTTCTATTTTTTACACTTGGGAAATAAAGTAATGTTTCGTCATTTGTTGACACCGTGAATTTTAACATATATTACAAGGCTATGACACCAAGGGTATATATATATATATATATATAAATACTTGTATTCTGGGTAGAACGTATTCCGTAGAGCGCTCATATATATATATATATATATATATATAGATAAAAGATGAACTTCTGGAGTCAGACTAGTTCAAAAACATTTAATCGCTACTCGGAGTTTCATGCCTCTAAAGAAGCAATCATCAGGCGACTGACAACGTTAGCGGTCACATGTAAAGATATACAAATTTGAAAAGACGTAAGAATTCTGATTGGACGGCTAAAATGCTTAACGAACAGGTAAATCTATATTAGGTTATCGCGGTATTTAAAAGAAATTTCTTAGAATGTCTACAGATCGATGACAGTTCATTTCTACGATTGAGTGTTGACATTTCCGGTTTGCAAATAATAAAGTATTTCTCCCACAGGCAGAGATTACATTTCTTGTTGACATTAGAGTAAGA